CACCCCAATGAGGCGGGTACTATCTTTATTCTTGTTTTACTGATGGGGAAACTGAGGTTCAGAGGGGTAAAGTGACTTGCTCAAGATGATACAGCTAGAAAGTGCTAGAGATGAGATTCAATCCCAGGTCTACTTGACTCTGGAACCCATGGTCTTTCCACTGCACCATGCCATCTTTTGGGGATAGGGGAAAAGGAAGGGAAAATAAATGAGAAAAGAGGTGAAACATGGAGGGGAAGGGAGGGATGGGAAGGAGAGAAAAGAGACCAGAGGAGAGAAGAGAGACATTTAAGACCTGGGGGTAAGCTGGCACCAACTCTTCTTCCTGTTCTAAGGAGACGAGAAGTGCATCTTGAGAATGGCTGTGGAGAAAGGAGACCTCCTGCCTGGATGCTGGGCAGCATGTGGAAACAGAGGTCATTCTGTTGGCACCCAGCGCTTACCCTCTTCTCTAGGACACCAGATACTCTCAGCCTGGAGGCAGCAAATAGCCTTCTTTCTCAGCTGGCCTGGTCTCTGGTGCTGAATTCCCTTACAGCTATTAATCAAAACAGAAACCACCCTCATAATACAAAATGGCTTTTCAACTAGGGCAGGAGCCCAGCCCAAGGGATAGAAACCTCCTCCAGCTTCCCAAACTTCCAGTAGTGTCTACTGTCTTAACACCTAACATTACTGCCCTCAGAGATCCTGTGGGGATTGGGGCTTCATTATCCACATAGTGGACAGAAAGGAATCACTCATCCCTAAACATGAATTCCCTGCAACTTGAACGGGGTTGGGGTGAGGATGGGGCAGGTCTTCCCAGGAAATCCTTTACTTCCCATGGGCCCTGGCTTAGAAGATGCATCCCTCCCTGACCGCTGGGAGTGTTCCTGGGTTGCTGCACTGTCTCAGCTTCCTCTATCTGCCTTTGCTTCTTCAGCTTTGCACTTTGTGAGCTACTCCTTGCTGCCATGCCTGTCACCCTGGCCAGCTTGACCACCATCCCCCATCCTGACAGAGTACTGCTACAGGATCCCAGCCGGGCCAGCCCTGCCTACCCTAAGCACACAACCCTAACCACCTCTGTGGATGAGTCTCCTCCAAATGGGCCCTGAATAGGGAACTACTTTGAACAGTTAAATGACCAAATGACCTCCCCTCCAACTGTCTGAAAATCCACCTCCCAGATTGGCCTGTGGGCCCTGGCTAAACTGGCTGAGACTAAATACTAGGCTAGGAGCTTCTTCAGAGTGGCAATCAGACCTTTAGTTATTTCTAAATCTTTCCTCTGCCCCATTTATCTCTCTACACATCCCAACAACACCTAGCACTTGGCCTTGCCCACTGTCAACTATCATGATCAGTATATGTATCTGAGTGGAACTAAAAGCCAGCTCTCTAGCCAAACTCTCAGGACTGGACTGTCTTAGGCCCTTCCTGGTGCTCTGGGGAGGTCATTCCTTCTAGGAAATGGTTAATTTTAAGATCATTTCCTCTCCCTCCCACCCAAGTAAGTAACTCAAAGGAGTAAGTTTAAGAGACCCTCTTTGTCTGGCTGGAGTGGCTCAGTGATTGAGCATTGACCTATGAACCAGGAGGTCACAGTTCGATTCCCAGTCAGGGCACATGCCCAGGTTGCGGGTTCAATCCCCAGTGTGGGGCGTGCAGGAGGCAGCCAATCAATGATTCTCTCTCACCATTGATGTTTCTATCTCTCTCTACCTCTCCCTCTCTGAAATCAATAATATATATATTAATATATATATTCATATATATTAAAGAGACCCTCTTCCTGAGTTCATTGATAGGCTAATGGAATGTTAAGGACAATACCAGTCCTCTACCACCTTCACATGTGCAAACAGAGGTTCTTAAAGGAAAATATTTGCCTAAGGTCTCACTGTGAGTTAGCAGCAGAGCTGGGACTGGTCAGGCTTTGTGGCTCTGAGACCTGTACTCTTGCTGCAGCACCACGATGCTTCTTCATTTGTGAAAAAAAAAAGTGTTTACTGGTAGCCTACTGCTTGTAGGGTCCTGGGCTGGGAGTAGAGATATGGTGGAAAACTCCCCTGGAGCAGCAGGCCTCACTCACTGCTCAGTGTGTATCAAAAGCACTCAGCACGCATGCCCATTGTGGAGATCCTGGGCTCTGCTCCCTGAGGTTCTCACTCAGCAGGGAGCACCCAGTCCCAGGAATCCTGAAGACCCCACCTGGGGGAACCCTGCTCCAGGATTTCAAAGGAAAACAAACTCCAAGTTTGCCAAAGGGTTTTAGGAATTAGGCTGATTTTCCACCAATTCTTAGGCTATTACTGTTTCTAGTTTGGCCCAACCTGTCCACACTTTACCAGTTTTCAGAATTGGGGAGGCAGGAATGACTAGACGGGAGTTGAGTTGGTTCACGTGCTACAGCGGAAAGAACACTGTCCTGAGGGTCAAGGGACCCAGGTTTTGTTCCCAGCTCTGCCACAGACCAGTGACAGGGGATGAGCAGCAGCAAGTCACTCCCCTGGGCCTATTTCCTCATCCATAAAATCAGGATACCAATTCCCGCCTTAGAAGCTTCCAGAGATGTAGGGAGGATTTTATGAGATAAGTATGAAAATTCTTTACAGAAAACATAAAGTGCTACTCGAACATGAAGAATTGTTACACAGGGGGAACAAATTCCTCCCAGCAAGAGGGTCAATTTAAAACGCAGGGTCTCGTGCCTCCTTTAGAGTCCATAGTTCCAGGAGGAAATCCCGCCCCCCCAAGTCTGCCACAAAACCAGCCCAGGTCACTCAGCTGCTCTGGCCAAAGGTGGGGAGTTGGGTGGCAGGATTCCTAAGCCTGTGCATGAGTTTGGTCTCAGCTTCAGGGCTGGAGAGTTAAGTCTAGACCAGTGATGGCGAACCTATGACACTCATTTTTTTGGTTGATTTTTCTTTGTTAAATGGCATTTAAATATATATAATAAATATCAAAAATACAGTGGGGCCTTGACTTATGAGTTTAATTCGTTCCGTGACGGAGCTTGTAACTCAAATTACTCGTATGTCAAATCAATTTTCACCATTACAATGAATTGAAATGCTGGGCTGATGTTGTGGCGTTCACTGTGACGTTCGCTGCGCCAACTAGCGGTGGGGTATCTGAAGCTGGCTCGTAACCCGAATTTTAGCTCGCAACTCAAAGCAAAAAATCAGCCGAGAGATGGCCAATCTCAAAAAACTCGTTAGTTGGGACACTCGTAAGTCAAGGCCCCACTGTATAAGTCTTTGTTTTACTATGGTTGCAAATATCAAAAAATTTCTATATGTGACAGGGCACCAGAGTTAAGTTAGGGTTTTTCAAAATGCTGACAGGCCGAGCTCAAAAGGTTCGCCATCACTGGTCTAGACTATCAACCCAGGAACGAACTTGGAGGGGTGAGCCCGTGGCTCCCTAACCAGGAAAAGGCCTCTGGTTCCACCTTGACTGCCTTGAGTTCTCCTGAGGTGGCCAGAGAGAACCACTGGCTCTGTCTTAAGAGTGGAATTGAGGTCTGAGAAGATCAGAAGAAACGTGGTTGCTGCTTTTGCTCTGAATCTGCCTTAGGCCACCAAATCCTCCCTGAAAAGGCGGCCAGGGCCCTTGGATGAGGTGGAGCTATGTCTGCTCACCACCTGCCCCCTGAGCCTGGGCCACTTGAAGGAAGGCAGGGTCCTCAGGGGCAAGTGCAGGTGGGCAGGCAGCCCTCCCTCTCTCTTTCTCTCTCTCCCTCCCCGCCGGCTCGCTACCTACCTCCTTTCCTACAAATTTTCTTGTTGGGCTTTCGGGCGCATTCCTTGGAAATCCGCTTTACTGTAAAATGAATAAAAAACTAAAAAATAACAGGAGGCCTCTGCCAAGGGGCATGCACCCTCCACCCCCAGACCCCAAGAGCTGTTCTCAGGTGGCACATGGCAGAGAGCCTCTCCCACCACCTCCTTGTTTCTGTCACTTACCTTAGTGTGACCCCCGCGGGAGGAGGCACCAGCTAGTGAAAGAGGAGGCACCTAAGTAGTGCCCACCAGGCTTGCCCCCATCCCCCCACACACCTAGCTCCTTTGGCTACACACAACTTCCACCTTCCAAAGCAGGTGGAATGGCAACAGGAGGCCTGGTGGGGCCAGCATCCTCCCGCGGGCAGCTGCTGGCAATGACCCATACTCCCCCAGGGAACCCCCATCCAGCACTCTGACCCTAGACTTGTCAAAGCTCTCAGGCCTGGCCAGGCCCCTCCTGGTAACAGTGTCACTCACACAGGGGAGCTCAGACAATGCTGGGAGAGCAAAGAACAGGGAGGAGGAAGGGGGACGCCAAGCAGAGTGATGGTTAGACAGACAGAGGCATGCTGCAGGGCACACAACCACATGCAAGCCACAAACACAACAGGGCAGGAGAAGGCAGGGAGGGCACAGTGCCTGGCCACAGCACTCACCATCCTCCGTGGGCACATAGACATTCAGGTAGAGGCAGTCTTCATTGGGCTCTTGGATGTAAGTGGCGACGATATCCAAGTTGGCAGTGAACCAGACAGGCAGCATGACTTCGGGCACAGCTGTGTGGATGTTCTGGGGGCACACTGGGGGAAAGTGTGTGGCGTTCCGGATGCCCGACCAGGATGGGGGTGGTTCAGGGGGCAGGAAGCGTTTCTCGCCGATCGGAGGAGCTGCGTAGGGCACCCCCAGGTATTGGTCCACAGGCCCCAGGATCTCACTGGGCAATGGTACCCGGGCACCCCTTAGCTTTCCAAAGTGAGTATTGACTGTGGGCGCTGGGGCCTGTGTACTGGCCCTCAGCACCAAGCCGAGGAACCACAGGGTGAGGCACAGGCTCCGGCCAACTGTGGGCTTGGGGCTCAGGGGCAGCCAGGGCAGGCCAAGCCACAGCCACATGTTCCGGGCAGGGGGACTGGCAGGAAAGGCAGATTCCAGGGTCACAGCATCAGCCCAATAGGCAGCCCCTTCATGGCCACACTGACTGGAACCTCAAAACTGAGCTCTTGAGGGACACCTACAGGTGCTGGCCACGTAGAGAGCAGGTCATCCAAGCACCACAGCTTCAGAAAGAAGACTCCCTCAGGGCCAGACAGGCCTGTGGAAAGAGGGAAGTATTCGTCATCCAAGACAGTGGGGAGGGTTATGGAGTGGGTTTTGGGAGCCCTGCTGGGCTTGGGCTATTCTCCTAGTTAGGAGAGGTTTCACGTGCCCAAAAGTCGAGAGACCCATAGATGATCTCCACTGCCAATCTGAACCATTCTATGTGCCCGGCCATGGTTGGAAAACCCAAGGGGATTGACAGAATGACAGTGGTTGCCACTACAAGTTACCAATCCCCAACTTGAACTCCTCAGCCAATGGAGCTCCCGAGGGCCAGCTGGAGCCAGAGTAGCATGTGGTAGAAGAGGTGAGAACTGGAAATAGAGCTAGGTCCCCGGGCATGCTGCAGGAACACTGCGCTCTCTAGCCCCAGGACTGGAAAGCCCACACAAGGACCTCTGCCTCAGGGGACAGGATTGTGAACCTCACTCTGAGACTCTATGGCATAAGAAGGGAAAGCAGCAGACAGTCAAAGGGTCCCACAGAGATACCCTTCATGCTCAGGCGGGGCAGGGGCAGGGGCAGGGGCAGGAGCAAGGATAGGGGCAGGACAGCCATTTCCCAAAGTCCCCAGAACCTCCTGTGCCCTTCTGTACATTTCTCCTCAGCCCTAACTGCTCCCAAATCCTTAAGCCTTGGTCATCTCTGTCAGCTAGCTCTGAGTCACATGGAATGCCAAAACTGAGGCAGAAACCCTTCTGCCTAGCACCCTAGGCATTGTTGATGCTCAGCCAGTGGAAAATAAACAGTGGAGTGTAGGGAACACACTCTCAGAGACTCACACTTTGAGACTCACAAAGTCTCAAAGAGGAAGTAAGAGATACCAAGCCAGATAATAAATACTACAATATTCACTCACAGAGACAGACATTCCAAGCCCACAGAGATCCCCTCATATAGTGTCACATTCTGAGACAGAGAGTGTCACCCAGCCAGAGACTTACTAAAATATAGTCACACACACTACTCAGGTAAATATCCAGACACATGCAGCATGATGGTGACACATAGGTGGAGACAGAAACAGTAATAGCAACACAATTGACACAGGCCTTCTGACACACAGGTACAGTCAACACATATCCACAGGTACACACAGACACTCGTGCATGGACACACACACACACACACACACACACACAATATTTCCTTCCCCCCCCATTTCTCCCAATTTCCAAGATTGCAGGCCTTCTCCTTTAAGACTTTAAGAACTGCCTGAAGGGGTGGGGGAGGGAGATTGGGAACGCCCGGCAATTCGCCACCTCCGAGAGGGGAATGAGATGAGAGAGAGAGAGAGAGAGAGAGAAGGAGGGTGAAGGGAGGGTGGGCAAAGAGACTAAAGGGGTGGGGGCTCAGACGAAATGGGGAGCAAAATATGGGGGGTTAGATTCCAGCCACTGCCCCACTGCCCATAATGGCCCAGGGTTGGGGGAGGAGGGGCAGAAGAAAGAAGGGGTAGGAGTAGGGAGGTGGAGCAGGAGCGAGTGTGTGTGTGTGTGTGTGTGTGTGTGTGTGTGTGTGTGTGTATGGGGGGAATAGTCCGCAGCTGAGTTCACACAATCCCCCCATTCACTGTCTCCATGGCAACTCTGGGGCACAGACCGCTCATTCACACGGCTTCCCCACCAGCACCCACCCCCACGATTAACCCTCTCGGTGCCGCCCCTCCCCACAAATTCCATTAACCCTTTTGGGATGCTTCCCTCTCCAGTACCCCTTTGGTACCAAATGCCGGTCCCCTTTGAGTCAATTCCCTGCAGTCCCTCCCCCGTGAACACCTAGACAAATCGACCCCCAAACGCCCTCTGTACCCTAAGACCCACTGTAAGTCCCCAAGGCCAAGATCTTCATCCTGGCCCAACTTCCAATTTGGGAGAAGACAAGGAGAGGTGGCAATGCCAGGGATTAGAATGGCATCTGGGGGTACTTTTTACGCTGGAGCAGTATTGGGTGAGGGGCATTGTACAGGAATGCACTGGTATTGTAAACCACAGGATTGGGGGCTATGAGGGCTCGGAACGGAATTGAGGGATGGAGCTGCATTGGAATGGGGAGGATAGGATAAAGGCCTCTGTTAGGAGGGGGGGCTGCAGAGTGGGGGAGGGAGCCTGGCTGTGAGATGCTACCATAGAAGAGGGATGGGGTTGCACCGTGGGGGTGGGGGGACTGGCAATGTGCATAACAGGAATGGGATTGGGGGCCCTCAGTAGGGGTATTTTGATGAGCATTCGAGCCGGGCTGTGGAAATATAGGGACCATGGGCAGGACGATGACAGGGATATGTGGGCTTCAGGGAGGAGGTGAAGGAGAGAAGTGGGGGAGGAGTGGGGGGGTCAGGGGTGCCGATGATGGAGAACATGGGGTTGAGGATGGGGAGCACTGGCTGGGGAGTGGAGGAGCCCGATTGGGAGGGGATAGGATGGGGCAAGGTATGGACGGCTAAAGAATGAGAGACCTCGGCCTCACCTGTTCCCCTGGCTGTTGCAAGCGACTGAACCGGGCCTCGGACCACCCATATCGCTTCCAGGCCAAGGGCTCCGCACCCGAATCCCCGAGATCTGCTCTCTGGCTGCTGCTGCTGTGCCCGCG